TGTGTGTGAGTGTGTCTGTGTGTGTCTGTGTGTGTGTCTGTGTCTGTGTGTGTCTGTGTGTGATTGTGTGTGACTGTGTGTGTGTGTCTGTGTGACTGTGTGTGTGACCATTATCTTAAACCGGTCATTCGCCTACTTTAGGTAGACTCAGCCTCAAATGAGTACCTGGTGTAGTGGTGGTGTAGTGGTGATGGTGGTGTAGTGGTGGTGGTGGTATTATAGGTCGTAGTAGAGGTGGTGTAGTGGTGGTGTGGTGGTGGTGTCGTGGTGGTAGTGGTGGTGGTAGTGGTGGTAGAGGTGGTTGTGGTGGTGGTTGTGGTGGTTGTGGTGGTGGTGGTGGTTGTGGTGGTGGTTGTGGTTGTGGTGGTTGTGGTGGTTGTGGTGGTGGTAGTGGTGGTGGTGGTTGTGGTGGTGGTTGTGGTGGTTGTGGTGGTAGTGGTGGTGGTGGTTGTGGTGGTGGTGCTGGCCACCCACCCCCTCTGTGTGTGTAGCCACAGTGCCGGTAGCCTTCATAGACGCTGCTGCTGCTGCTACTCGCTACAAACAGCACTTGCCCCTGCAGCCCTGCTAGAGGCTACCTGGGGAGCTTTGTCTTTATTTAGATGTAAATAGATATATTTTGGGTGTGTCAGTGTGCGTGTCAGTGTGTGAGTGTGTATGTCAGTGTGCGTGTCAGTGTGTGAGTGTGTGTGTATGTATGTCAGTGTGTGTGTGTATGAGTGTGTGTGTGTATGTCAGTGTGTGTGTGTCAGTGTGTGTGTCAGTGTGTCAGTGTGTGTGTGTCAGTGTGTGTGTGTGTCTGTGTCAGTGTGTCAGCGTGTGTGTGTCTGAGTGTGTGTATGTCAGTGTGTGTGTGTCTGAGTGTGTGTGTGTGTATGTCAGTGTGTGTGTGTCTGAGTGTCAGTGTGTCAGTGTGTGTGTGTGTCAGTGTGTGTGTGTCAGTGTGTGTGTCAGTGTGTGTGTGTCAGTGTGTGTGTCAGTGTGTGTGTGTCAGTGTGTCAGTGTGTGTGTCAGTGTGTGTGTCAGTGTGTGTCAGTGTGTGTGTGTCAGTGTGTGTGTGTCAGTGTGTGTGTGTCAGTGTGTGTGTGTCAGTGTGTCGGCGTGTGTGTGTCAGTGTGTGTGTGTCAGTGTGTGTGTGTGTCAGTGTGTCAGTGTGTGTGTTAGTGTGTCTGTGTGTGTGTGTCAGTGTGTCAGTGTGTGTGTCAATGTGTGTGTGTCAGTGTGTGTCTGTGTGTGTGTCAGTGTGTGTGCGTATGTGTGTCAGTGTGTCAGTGTGTGTGTTAGTGTGTCAGTGTGTATGTCAGTGTGTGTGTGTCTGTGTGTGTGTCAGTGTGTCAGCGTGTGTGTGTCAGTGTGTGTGTGTCAGTGTATCAGTGTGTGTGTGTGTCAGTGTGTGTGTGTCAGTGTATCAGTGTGTGTGTGTCAGTGTGTGTGTCAGTGTGTGTGTCAGTGTGTGTGTGTCAGTGTGTGTGTATCAGTGTGTGTGTCAGTGTGTGTGTGTCACTGCATGCCCAAGCAGCTTCTGTTTGACAGGATCGAGGGGGCTAAACGGGCGCGGCACGGGCTAGAGAATAGATGGGTGAGTGAGTGAGTGTGTGAGTAGATGAGTGGGTGAATGAGTGGATGTGTGAGTGGATGAGTGGGTGAGTGAGTGGGTGTGTGAGTGGATGAGTGGGTGAGTGAGTGGGTGGGTTAGTGGATGAGTGAGTGGTGTGTGAGTTGATGGGTGAGTAGGTAGGTGAGTGAGTGGGTGAGTGAGTGGGTGGGTGAGTGGGTGAGTGATAGGTGAGTGGGTGAGTGAGTGGGTGAGTGAGTGGGTGAGTGAGTGACACGGGCTACAGAAGAGATGGAGTGATGGGTGAGTGAGTGGGTGAGTGAGTGGGTGAGTGATAGGTGAGTGAGTGGGTGGGTGAGTGGGTGAGTGAGTGGGTGAGTGACACGGGCTAGAGAAGAGATGGAGTGATGTGGTACAGGAGGACGTGGAGCTGAGTGGACTTGCCGATGACTGGTACCAGCGGTGTCAAGATCAGCCTCTGTGGAGGAGGCTCGTAAAGGACGCTACTGGGCAGTTGGAGGCAGTCGTCATCCAACAACAACGGAGGGCGGAGGAGCGACGCTCACAACAACGAGCGGAGCGCCGGGCGGCTAAAGCACAGCAAGTTGACACAGTAGGGGGCACAGGTGGTGCATCAGCCAGTCATCTCGGTCATCTCAGTCAGTCGACCCGTGGCCGGGAGTCGGAGCCATTCCCTGTACACCTTGGGGTGCGACAGGGATGTCCTCTGGCTCCCACATTATTTCACATCTTTTTGACCACGTAGTTCGTGAGGCCTTCAATAGCTGTACCGCAGGAATTTCCATCTGGTACAGATACAATGGGAGGCTGATTGATGCCCGGGTGCGGTCAAGGGATGGCTCCCTATTGGTCAACCATGTTACGTATGCCGATGATTTGGTGATTGCTGCTCATTCAGAGAAGGAGTTGGAGACGCTGCTGCTGAACCTGAAGCTTGCCACTAAGAGGTGGGGCCTTACCATCATCCCCACCAAAACTCAGCACCTGCCTGGGTATTTTGTACCATCGGACACTCCACCTCCACAACTCCCAATTGGTGATGGGGCAGTTGTGGAGAGAGTGGAGAGTTTCCCATACCTGGGCAGTGTGCTTATGACTGGCTCCAGTTTATCAGCAGAGGTCTCACTCCGAATCAGTCGAGCGGCAATATCTTTTCATCGGTTGCGTAACGCTGTGTGGAAGCTACCTGGTCTGTCACTCCGCACGAAGCTTCAGGTCTTCTCGGCCACGGTCATTCCCTCCCTTCTCTACGCTTGCGAAACGTGGACCCCCCCTAATGGAACATCTTTGCCAGTTAGGAACATTTAGGCTGGCCTGCCTACGATCCATCCTGGGTTTAACCAGGCTGGATTGTTTAAGGAGCTCTAAAATCCTTGAAAGATCTGGATAAAGTCCCATCCGTGAGCTCTTCCGGCAGGCAAGGCTGCGTTGGCTGGGTCATGTAGCCCGCATGCCCAGCCACCGCATGCCTAAACAGCTTTCGGCCGGATCGAGGGGGCTAAACGGGCGCGGCACGGGCTGGAGAAGAGATGGAGTGATGTGGTACAGGAGGACGTGGAGCTGAGTGGACTTGCCGATGACTGGTACCAGCGGTGTCAAGATCGGCCTCTGTGGAGGAGGCTCGTGAAGGACGCTACTGGGCAGTTGGGGGCAGTCGCCCTCCAACAACAACGGAGGGCGGAGGAGCGACGCTCACAACAACGAGCGGAGCGCCGGGTGGCTAAAGCACAGCAAGTTGGCACAGTAGGGGGCACAGGTGGTGCATCAGCCAGTCATCTCGGTCATCTCAGTCAGTCGACCCGTGGCACCTGCTGGGTCTGCCCCGTGACCTCATTCGACACTTCACGTGGCCTCAAGGTGTACAGTGTCGTGGTGACATCACCGCCACTTAGTGTTGTTGTGTGTAGGTACGTGGGTGTGTAGGTGTGTAGGTGTGTGTGTGTAGGTGTGTTTGTGTGTTAAGGTGTGGGTGTGTAGGTGTGTGTGTGTAGGTGTTTGTGTAAGTGTGTTTGTGTGTTTAGGTGTGTGGGTGTGTAGGTGTGTGTGTGGGTGTGTAGGTGTGTGTGTAGGTGTGTGGTGTAGGTGTGTTTGTGTGTTTAGGTGTGTGGGTGTGTGGGTGTGTAGGTGTGTGTATGTAGGTGTGTGGGTGTGTGTGTGAAGGTGTGTGTAGGTGTGTGTGTGTAGGTGTGTGTGTAGGTGTGTAGGTGTGTGTGTAGGTGTGTAAGTGTGTGTGTGTCTGTGTGACGTGCTACAGCTGGAATGTGTTGTGGTCACAAGAATGCAGTTGGTATGTGGCCATGTGTGTGTGAGTTAGTGTGTGAGTTAGTGTGTGTTAGTGTGTATGTGTGTGTGTATGTGTGTGTATGTGTGTGTGTGTGTATGTATGTATGTGTGTGAGTTAGTGTGTGAGTTAGTGTGTGTGTGTATGTGTGTGTGTATGTGCGTGTATGTGTGGGGAGTGGTGGTGCAGCGGTTAGCGCTACACTACGCTATGAACCCGGTGACCCGGGTTCGATTTCCGCTCACGACCAACACCACCACCACAGTGACAGCGATTATCTAAACCGGTCCTGGGCCTCCCCTAGGTCGACTCAGCCTCAAATGAGTACCTGGTGCGGTGTGTAGTAAACATCGCCACTGGGGAGACAAAGGCGGCCGGGCGTGGTGGTGGTGCTGGCCACCCACCCCCTCTGTGTGTAGCCATAGTGCCGGTAGCCTTCATAGACGCTGCTACTCGCTGCCAACACTTGCCCCTACAGCCCTGCCAGAGGCTACCTGGGGGAGCTTTGTCTGTATCTCAGCACTTGCCCCTACAGCCCTGCTAGAGGCTACCTGGGGAGCTTTGTCTGTGTCTCAGCACTTGCCCCTGCAGCCCTGCCAGAGGCTACCTGGGGGAGCTTTGTCTGTGTCTCAGCACTTGCCCCTGCAGCCCTGCTAGAGGCTACCTGGGGGAGCTTTGTCTGCGTCTCAGCACTTGCCCCTACAGCCCTGCTAGAGGCTACCTGGGGGAGCTTTGTGTCTCAGCACTTGCCCCGACAGCCCTGCCAGAGGCTACCTGGGGGAGCTTTGTCTTTGTTTCCGTGTGTATATGATGGTACCGGACTCATATCCCATAACCCGATCTCACTGGTGAGTCACCGTTTGTCACTCATTTCCCAACGTCTTGTCTCTTCTCACAATTCAAGTTCCTAGAATCAACCCACCCGCGCCTGCAACGTGGCTTCATCCCAGAGGTCGCAATCGGGTACCCGATACCCGTACCCTACCCGTATCCGGCCGGGTATGGGTAGGGTACGGCCGGGTACGGGTACCCGTTTGCGACCCTGGTGCGGCCGGGTACGGGTAAGGAATCAAAACCCGTTTGCGACCTCTGACCCACGCTCTATCCCATAACCCACACTCTATCCCCTATCCGAGACACTAACCTGTTGCCCTCCGCTGCCACCGCAGACGCTGCCAACATCTCCTGCGCAAGGGGCCAGCGCTTTGTCAGCTCGCCAGCTGGTCATCTAATCAGCTGGTCATCTAATCATCTCATCAGCTGGTCATCTAGTCAGCTGGTCATCTAATCATCTCATCAGCTGGTCATCTAGTCAGCTGGTCATCTAATCATCTAGTCAGCTGGTCAGTCACGATGGGCAAGAAGAAGCCAGGAAAGAAGGCCGAGGAGGGAGGAGCGTCCGCAGCGGAGGCGGGGGCAGCCGGCCAGACCAAGGGGCAGGCCGAGGGGCAGGGCGGCCACGGGGACGACCACGGCAAGGGGCAGCCCAAGTGTGGAGGAGGTGGAGGAGGTGGAGGAGGTCCCGCGGAGAAGAAGCCTCAGCAGGAGAAAGGCAAAGGTCACGGCACCGATGGGGGCAAAGGTCACGGCGAGGCGAGCAAAGGTCACGGCACCGAGGCGGGCAAAGGTCACGGCGAGGCGAGCAAAGGTCACGTCGAGCCGGGCAAAGGTCACGGCGAGCCGGGCAAAGGTCACGGCGAGGCGGGCAAAGGTCACGGCGAGCTGGGTAAAGGCCACGGCGAGGCGGGCAAAGGTCACGGAGAGGCGGGCAAAGGTCACGGCGAGCCAGGCAAAGGTCACGGCGAGGCGGGCAAAGGTCACGGTGAGCCGGGCAAAGGTTACGGCGAGGCGGGCAAAGGTCACGGCGAAGCGGCCAAAGGTCACGGCACCGAGGCGGGCAAAGGTCACAGCGAGGGGGGCAAAGGTCACGGCACAGAAGCAGGCAAAGGTCACGGCACCGAGGCGGGCAAAGGTCACCACGGCGAGCACGGCAAGGGGCCGCAGGAGCAGGCCAAGGGCCACGGGGGGAAGAAGGAGGCCAAGGCGGCCGGGACGGCTTCCCACGCCGTCAAGAAGCAGAAGTCCGCCGACAAGCAGCAGCAGCCGGAGCCCGTGCCGGTGGCGGCCGCCGCCGTGACGGCCGCTGCCGTTGCCGGCGCCGCCGAGGCTCAGAAGGGGCAGCCGGTCGACGTCATCGGCGGCGGAGGTGGCAGCGGTGGGATGTCCGACGCCGATCTCCTAGGAGGACCGGAGCCCGTTCCAGCGGCTCCCGCCCCGCCGGGCGGCAAGCCCCAGCCGCAGGCCTCGCTCGACCTGGGCGGCTTGGACTTCGACGCTCCGCCGCCGGACGTGGACTGGAGCGCCGGGGGGACGGCGACGGCCGTCAAGGAGGGGCAGGTGAAGAAGGAGGACTTCGTGCCGCTCGTCGTCAAGGAGGGCGAGGCCGCCGCCGCCAAGTTCGGCGGGAAGGCCACCGTGGCCGACGGCAAAGGGCCGAAGAAATCCGGTGCCGCTGAGAAACCGGCGGCGTCTGCGGTGGCTCAGGTGGCTCAGGTAGCCCAGGGGGTTCAGGGGGTTCAGGCGGCTCAGGTAGCACAGGCCGCCGGGCCGGCTGTCTACGGAGGGGGGATGTCCGATGCCGATCTTCTGGGTGGACCGACCGCGGCTGCTCCGGTGGTTCCTCCCAAGCCGCAGGCCGGGGTGGACCTGGACGGCCTGGACTTCGACGCTCCGCCGCCGGACGTGGACTGGAGCGCCGGGGGGACGGCGACGTCCGTCAAGGAGAAGGAGGCCAAGAAGGAGGCCTTCGTGCCGCTCGTCGTCAAGGAAGGGGAAGAGGCCAGGGGGGGTCCCGGCGGGAGGCCCAAAGACGGAGGGGAGACGGCCTGCTGCCCGGCCCCCAAGTCCGTGCCGCTCACCAAACTGGAGCCCGCCCTCCGGGCCAAGTCTTCGGAGCCTCCGGCAAAATCCGGCGCTCCTCCTGCTGCTGCTTCTTTGGCCAAAACGTCTTCGGAGCCTCCGGCAAAATCCGGCGCTCCTCCTGCTGCTGCTTCTTTGGCCAAAACGTCTTCGGAGCCTCCGGCAAAATCCGGCGCTCCTCCTGCTGCTGCTTCTTTGGCCAAAACGTCTTCGGAGCCTCCGGCAAAATCCGGCGCTCCTCCTGCTGCTGCTTCTTTGGCCAAAACGTCTTCGGAGCCTCCGGCAAAGAAGTTCTCGGCCTCCTCTTCCGTCGCCGCGGCGACCGAGCCTCAGCTCAAGGCCTCGGCGTGCCAGGTCAAGTTGGCGACGGCGCCGCTGGTGCCGCCCCAGCAGAAGCCGATGTCCTGCGTCCCCCCGGCCAAACCGTTCTCCTGCGGCGGCCCAGGGCAGGGGATCTCCGATTCGGACCTCTTCGGCGTCGGCGGCGGCGGTGTCGGCAGTGTCGTTCAACCGACCCCGGCGCCGGCCGCCAAGGTGCAGACGCCTCCCGCCTGCGACCTGTTGGCCAAACCGACGGCCAAACCGACGGCAACACCGGCGGCTACGGTGGCTACGGCGTTGCCCGACCAGACCCAGCAGCAGCAGAAGGGCGTCCAGGCCGGCCTCTCCGCAGGAGCCTCCCTTCCGGGGGCAGCCGCGGCCGCCGGTCCAGGCGAGGCTCAGGCTTCGGCCCGGCCCGCTCAGCCGCCCCTGCAGCCCCTGCCGCTGCCGCCGCCGTCGCCGGGAATTTCTGACGACGACCTCTTCGGCATTACGCCCGACCCTCCGGCGGGCGGGCCTCCGGCGGGCGGGCCTCCGGCATGTCCCGGTGGCCCCGGCGGCCCCGGCAAGGCTTCGGCCGGCGCCTACGACGACCTGGGCCTGGACTTCGACCGTCCCGCCCCGGACGTCGACTGGTCGGCCAGCGGCAAGCCCCTCGTCAAGGAGCAGGAGATCAAGGCCACCGTATACATCCCCCTGGTGGACGACGAGGACGTTGGCAGCGGCAGCGGTGGGGGTGGAGCGGCGGTGCCAGGGGCGGTGAAAGGGGCGGTGGTAGCGGCACCAGGGGCGGTGAAAGGGGCAGCAGTGACGGCACCAGGGGCGGTGAAAGGGGCGGTGGTAGCGGCACCAGGGGCGGTGAAAGGGGCGGTGGTAGCGGCACCAGGGGCGGTGAAAGGGGCGGTGGTAGCGGCACCAGGGGCAGTGAAAGGGGCAGCAGTGACGGCACCAGGGGCGGTGAAAGGGGGAGCGGTGGCGGTGCCAGGGGCGGTGAAAGGGGGAGCACCACCAGCAGCAGCAGCAGCAGGAGCAACAGCAGCAGCAGCAGGAGCAGCAGTGAAAGGGGCGGTGGTGGCGGCAGCAGCAGCACCAGCAACAGTAGCAGGAGCAGCAGCAGCAGCAGTGAAAGGGGCAGCAGCAGCAGCAGGAGCAGCACCAGTACCAGCAGCAGCAGCAGCAGCAGGAGCAGCAGTGAAAGGGGCGGTGGTGGCGGCAGCAGCAGCACCAGCAGCAGCAGGAGCAGCAGCAGCAGCAGGAGGAGGGGCAGTGAAAGAGTCGGAAGGGAAAAAGGCGAAATGAGAGCTGAGATGGCGATTGGTGGTCTCGTGTGCCGGGGTGTTGCCTTGCGACTGGCTGTGCGCACACACACACAGCTACACACACACAGCTACACACACTAACACACACAGCTACACACCTACACACCACACACAGCTACACACCTACACACACAGCTACACACACACAGCTACACACACACACACACACCTACACACTAACACACACACCTACACACTAACACACACACCTACACACACATCTACACACACACCTACACACACACACCTACACACACACCTACACACTAACACACACACCTACACACTAACACACACACACACCTACACACACATCTACACACACACACACACCTACACACACACACACCTACACACACACACACTTACACACACACATCTACACACACACACCTACACACACACCTACACACCGGGTCGCCATTGGGGGCACGTGACACATGTTTACAGGGAGGGGGTGGGCGGAGCCACCAGACACGCCCATGTCCATATATGGACATGGGCGTGTCCATATATGGACATGGGCGTGGCCTGCGTTGTGGGCGTGTTCTGATTGACGTGTGTGACGCGTTAATGGGCGTGGCTTGTGGGGTGTGTGGGCGGGGCTTGTTGGTCCCCGGGTTACGGAAGGCGGTTACGTATGTCGAGAAGTCGGACAAAATTTTGACAATACAAAGATCCCCCAGGTAGCCTCTAGCAGGGCTGCAGGGGCAAGTGCTGAGACACAGACAAAGCTCCCCCAGGTAGCCTCTAGCAGGGCTGCAGGGGCAAGTGCTGAGACACAGACAAAGCTCCCCCAGGTAGCCTCTAGCAGGGCTGCAGGGGCAAGTGCTGAGACACAGACAAAGCTCCCCCAGGTAGCCTCTAGCAGGGCTGCAGGGGCAAGTGCTGAGACACAGACAAAGCTCCCCCAGGTAGCCTCTAGCAGGGCTGTAGGGGCAAGTGCTGAGACACAGACAAAGCTCCCCCAGGTAGCCTCTAGCAGGGCTGTAGGGGCAAGTGCTGAGACACAGACAAAGCTCCCCCAGGTAGACTCAGGCAGGGCTGTAGGGGCAAGTGCTGAGACACAGACAAAGCTCCCCCAGGTAGCATCTAGCAAGGCTGTAGGGGCAAGTGCTGAGACACAGACAAAGCTCCCCCAGGTAGCCTCTAGCAGGGCTGCAGGGGCAAGTGCTGAGACACAGACAAAACTCCCCCAGGTAGCCTCTAGCAGGGCTGTAGGGGCAAGTGCCCCTACAGCCCTGGCGTTTACTACACCACCACCACGACACAAAGTACTCATTTGAGGCTGAGTCGACCTAGGGGAGGCTCGGTACCGGTTCAGATAATCGCTGTCATTGGGGTTTGTGGTCGTGAGCGGGAATCGAACTCGGGTCGCCGGGTTCGTAGCGCAGCGTAGCGCGAACCACTACTACACTACATTTTACACTACACACAGTGACACACACAGACACACACACAGACACACACACAGACACACACACACAGACACACACACAGACACACACAGACACACACACACAGACACACACAGACACACACGCACACACAGACACACACTGACACACACAGATACACACACACACTGACACACACACACAGTGACACACACAGTGACACACACACAGACACACACACACAGACACACACACAGACACACACAGACACACAGACAGACACACACACAGACACACACACACACAGACACACACACTGACACACACACACACAGACACACAGACACACACACGCACAGACACACAGACACACACACACACACACAGACACACAGACACACACACACAGACACACACACACACAAACACTCACACACACACACAGACACACACAGACACACAGACAGACACACACACGCATGATTTTCTTATTTGCTGCTGCTGCCTCTAAAGGTGGGGGTCACGTGGGTCACTAGGGGAATGGATGTGGTAGTACGCCAATATGGCCACCGCCCGTGACGTCACACCACCCCCCTTACCCCTCCCCCCACCCACACTCCTAATCATAAGCAATAATTAACTATGCAATTGTCAAATCGCAATAATTTTCATCAACCCTTTGCTATTTTTTTGCGACATTATTATTAATAATAGAGTGGCCATCTTGGGTAGGGGTGGGTGGTCGTGCGCCATCTTGGGTAGGGGGGGCGCCATCTTGGGTAGGGGGTGGTGGGAAGGGTTGGGTCGCCATCTTAGATGGGGGGGGGGGGAGGGAGTTGCATGTGGGCTGTACCTCCATCTTGGGTGAGGGGTTGCATGTCGGTTGGGACGCCATCTTAGCAATAGGGTAACCACCCCCCTGGGCGGGCGCCATCTTGGTCAAGGGTAACCACCCCCTGGGCGGGCGCCATCTTGGTCAAGGGTAACCCCCTTCCCCTCGGACGCCATCTTGGTGTTGTTGATCAGCTGTTACTGTGTTGTGGGGCTTGTTGTTGTTGTTGGTGGTGGTGACGGTAGCGGTGGTGGATCGCTTTTACTTGGTGACTGTATTTTTTTTTTTTTGGGGGGGGGGGGGACCCCCCCGGGTCAATTATATTTCGTGTTCGAAACGCAAAGTGTGGCTCTATTGTGACGTCACCAATAAACAAATCCGTGCACCAATCCGGTGTGAGTGTGGGTGAGTGGGTGAGTGAGTGTGTGAGTGAGTGGGTGAGTGAGTGTGTGAGTGAGTGTGTGTGTGAGTGAGTGTGTGAGTGAGTGAGTGTGATTGTGTGTGAGTGTATGAGTGTGTGAGTGGGTGAGTGAGGGTGAGTGAGGGTGAGTGTGTGAGTGTGAGTGAGTGTGTGAGTGAGTGGGTGAGTGAGTGTGTGAGTGAGTGTGTGTGTGAGTGAGTGTGTGAGTGAGTGAGTGTGTGAGTGAGTGAGTGTGATTGTGTGTGAGTGTATGAGTGTGTGAGTGGGTGAGTGAGGGTGAGTGAGGGTGAGTGTGTGAGTGTATGTGAGTGTGTGAGTGAGTGTGTGAGTGAGTGTGTGAGTGAGTGTGTGAGTGAGTGTGTGAGTGTGTGTGTGAGTGTGTGAGTGTGTGTGTGAGTGTGTGAGTGTGTGTATGAGTGAGAGTGTGCGTGTATGAGTGAGTGTATGAGTGAGTGAGTGTATGAGTGAGTGGGTGTATGAGTGAGTGAGTGTATGAGTGAGTGGGTGTGTGAGTGGGTGTGTGAGTGTGTGAGTGAGTGAGTGTGAGTGAGTGTGAGTGTGTGAGTGTGTGTAAGAGTGAGTGTGTGAGTGAGTGAGTGTATGAGTGAGTGTGTGAGTGAGTGTGTGTGTGTGTGAGTGAGTGTGTGAGTGAGTGTGTGTGTGAGTGAGTGTGAGTGTGTGTGAGTGTGATTGTGAGTGAGTGAGTGTATGAGTGAGTGAGTGTATGAGTGAGTGTGTGTATGAGTGAGTGTGAGTGAGGGTGAGTGTGTGTGATTGTGTGAGTGTGGGTGGGTGAGTGTGTGTGGGTGAGTGTGTGTGTGTATGTGTGAGTGTGTGTGAGTGAGTGGGTGAGTGAGTGATTGTGTGTGAGTGGGTGAGTGAGGGTGAGTGTGTGAGTGAGTGAGTGTGTGAGTGAGTGTGTGAGTGAGTGTGTGTGAGTGTGTGTGTGAGTGTGTGAGTGTGTGTATGAGTGAGAGTGAGTGTGTGCGTGTATGAGTGAGTGTATGAGTGAGTGAGTGTATGAGTGAGTGGGTGTATGAGTGAGTGAGTGTATGAGTGAGTGGTGTGTGAGTGAGGTGTGAGTGTGTGAGTGAGTGTGAGTGTGTGTAAGAGTGAGTGTATGAGTGAGTGAGTGTATGAGTGAGTGGGTGTATGAGTGAGTGGGTGTGTGAGTGTGTGAGTGTACACCACCATCACTAGCGCCACCACCATCACTCCCAACAACAACAACCGCCACTCGCCACTAAGTGGCGGTGACGTCACCACGATGCTTGTGCCAGGCCAAGTGCACCTTGAGGCCACGTGAAGTGTCGAACGCCCGCTGGCAGGAGGTCACGGGGCAGACCCAGCAGGTGCCACGGGCCAACTGACTGAGATGACCGAGATGACTGGCTGATGCACCACCTGTGCCCCCTACTGTGCCAACTTGCTGTGCTTTAGCCACCCGGTGCTCCGCTCGTTGTTGTGAGCGTCGCTCCTCCGCCCTCTGTTGTTGTTGGAGGGCGACTGCCTCCAACTGCCCAGTAGCGTCCTTCACGAGCCTCCTCCACTGAGGCCGATCTTGACATCGCTGGTACCGGTCATCGGCAAGTCCACTCAGCTCCACGTCCTCCTGT